CAGTTTCACTGGACATGTATTAAGAAATTATTGAGATACCTAAAATACACTAAATACATGAAATTATTGTTAGAACCAACACATACTGATTATGCAGAATTATGTTGTTATGCAGATTCTGATTGGGTAAGTGATAAGAAATCACGTAAAAGTACTTCAGGTTATATGATGTTCTTAAATGGTTGTCCTGTTTATTGGCAAGTACATAAACAGAATTTTGTTTCTTGTTCATCTACTGAAGCTGAATATGCTTGTGTTTCAGATGCATGTAATTCTCTAACTTGGTTTGATGCTTTAGTCACAGATATCTGGACACACCCGATCCGACCGATCACCGTGATGGAAGACAATGAATCGGTGGTTTATATTTCTGAATCTCATTTTACAGGTTCTAGGTCCAGACACATTGACATCCGTTATCAAAACATAAAACATTTAGTGAAAAAAGGTTTTGTTAAAATGCAGTATGTATCTACACATGATCAAATTGCTGATATGCTCAACAAACCACTTCCAGCAACTCAACACGAGTATCTGCGTAAGAAGATGTGCCTTATTTGATGATGTACTGATATTCGCTCAACTGGCAAAAGAAGGGGAATGTCACTGCGTTCTTTTATTTACCAGCTGAGCTCATTATTTCTGGACTGTCAGACTTTCCGTAGCTTGCCAACTTCTTATCAGTAAACTACGTGTATCCACCCACATTCCTTCACACTCTTCCCTTCGTTCTCTTGCCAGGAGGTGCCGGCTGCTGAGAAAAGCAGCTGGCACGAACTATATTCAAAATGTAACAATTACTTTTCTTAGTTAGTGAGGTATTTTATTTTCTTTATAACAAATAAAAGAGTTTTATTAGAGAATACTTCTTCAGGTTTTATTTCAGAATATTGCAACTTGGAGAAAGCCACGGTCCATCCCCTAATTAATCAGGGTGATTGTCCCAGAGCCAAAAATGGGATCGATCAAAACCCTGACATCGAGTGTCTTCCTTAGATCTCTTAGCAATAAGATGTTTCTGCTTTGCTTTCTTCTCAAAAGCCTCAAGCAGCCAGGAGCATTCAACCAACTGGAGCAACTCCAGAAGCTAAGAAGATTAAGATACATCCACCTGAATGCCATCCTCAAACAGCTCATCAAACAAACCAGCCAAAGTTCTCACTTGAGGGCCAAATGACCAGATTTAAATTATCCTAGTTTAGACACCTTATGCAAACACCTGATTCCAATGCAGAGAAGGATGGAAGGAAAGAGAAGAAAAGGATGGCTGGCAGCAAAATGGATGGACTCAGTTACAATGGTGACAGGCGCACCTTTGGAAGATCTGACACACCAGTCAGGGACAGATTGTCATGAAGAATATCTATCTACATATATATAGACATAACCCTGGCTTGGTGACACATGTGAGATTTTAAAAAAACAGAAAACCTCATAAAAAGTGAAATGGAGACCATGCACAAGTAAAAAGCAGATTTATTATAGATATAGATATATATGGGTATAAGCTTTTGCAAAAGGGTTCTCCCATGAAAGAGAGAGAACGTCTTACCACTCCAAATACATGGTTTAAATACATTTTCAGGCAATCAGCAAAACAATTAAACCGCCCCCACTTGTCATTGTTTTTCGGATATTAGATAACATTTTAGCTTTCTCAGCAACATTTGTTCCAGCTTGGAATTTCCCTCCAGAAATACCCTTTCAATATGTCCTTAACTGTCCTTAATTAAGACAATTAATTGGAACAGGGTATCTTCCTTCCTTTCAGTTGAGCTTGGGTCAGCCTGACCCAATTCAGAATGTACTAACATATTATTTCCTCAGAACAGGCGTCATACACACTTCCCTTTTCTAAATGTCTTACTCAGCTTAATAGCTTAGGGTTAGCTCAGGTTATATGAAGGGTAAATTTGGAGTCACTCCGACTATATTCTTTACAGGAATAATTCCATTTCTCTCACACATAATCAGTCAAAATTAGAATAGACTTTTAATAATATGGGTTATTACAATTACTAGTTGCATTTGGTGATTTATATTATGTTGCCATAGAATAGAATAGAATAGAATAGAATAGAATAGAATAGAATAGAATAGAATAGAATAGAATAGAATAGAATAGAATAGAATAGAATAGAATAGAATAGAATAGAATAGAATAGAATAGAACCTTGGAGGTCTTCTAGTCCATCCCCCTGCTCAAGCAGGAGAACCTATACCATTTTAGATAAGTGATTGTTTAGTCTCTTCTTTAAAAATTTCAGTGATGGAACACCCATGATTTCTGCAGGCAAGCTATTCCACTGGTTAATTATCTTCACTGTTAGGAAGTTTCTCCTTAATTCCAGGTTGCTTCTCTCTTTGGTTAGTTTCCAATTATTGTTTCTTGTCCTGCCCTCTGGTGCTTTGGAAAATAATTTTACCGCCTCTTCTTTTGGCAGCCCCTCAAATACTGGAATACTGCTATCATGTCACCCCTAATTCTTCTTTTCTAGAGACTAGCCAAACCCAAATTCTGCAGCCATTCTTCATATGTTTTAGTCTCCAGGCAATCAGTCAATCAGTCAATCAGTCAATCAGTCAATCAATCAATCAATCAATCAATCAATCCTCATTATGAGCTTAAATCCAATAATAATTCTTAGCCCCTCAATGTGAAATATATATCTAATCATTCACAGTCTGTTAATGATATTTCAGAAAACCATAACCTTCATGACATTTTTAAATCCCCGATTTAGTTATATGTTTTATATTTTTGTAAAGCTTCTTCTTTTTTCCTTCTGTGCTATTCAACTGCCACAACTTCTAAGAGGGAAAAACAGGAGCCAATTTATATTTTTTTTAAAAGAGTGATACAGAGTTCTCAGGTTACAACCATTCACTAACTGTTCAAAGTTATAAGGGCCCTGAACAAATGGTATTTATGATGGGTCTTCATAGTCCCAGCTGTCACAGCATCCCTTGATCATATGTCTGAAATCCAGATCTTTGGTTCCCAGCCTGCAATCACAATGTTGCCTGCCATGTGACCATGATTTTCCAACATTCTCTGCCAGCTTCCCACAAGCACAGTCAATGGGGAAGCCTGCAGGAAGTCGGAAGCTGAAAATTGTGGCAATGTGAGGTCCTCACTTAACAATTCACATAGGCATTTTTTAACAAAGACAAGTGGGACTGCCAGAATTGCCATTACTATGAGACATAGTCAAGTGATGTCACACATTATGACTGTGTCCCTTAGCAATGGCAATTCTGATACCAATTGCCATTATAAGCCAAGGACTACCTGTAGTATCTTATCAACAGAAATCTCTTCACCACATACTCTGCATAAGTAAACAAACATGTGAGTATTCTACACTTGAGCATCTTGTCTCTTCTTGGAGGGATGTTGAAGACATGCATGAGATTTAAGTCCTCACATGAGGGCACTGGGAATCTAGAGCAAAGTTTCTGTGATCGTCTTTTATTTTGATATTCTTTGCTGAACCAAGCCAAGCCTTTTGCTGGAATGTATGAGTGTAGTTGGTTTTGATGACATTATGTGCCTTGTCTTTGTCTGCATTTGTCATTTAGTAAGAACTTTTAGCATATAAGCTTGGACTGAATGTATTTTATTGTGTGCTTCCAACCAAGAACAAGGTTTTTTTGACTTATGTATGTCAAGTTCAGTAGGTCAGAACAGGTACTTCATTATATACTCTCTATACAATACTGTGGAACTCTCTAGTCTATTTCGGTTGATTATTGCATCCTGTTCTGAGCACTGAATTTTTGGAAGGATATCAACAAACTGGAGCGCACCCAGAAGCTCTCCAAGATGTTCAGCAGAAGAAACCTATAAACAACTATTGTAAGCAATGGATATATTTAGCCTGGAAGAAAGAAGACTGGGGAGACATGATAGCTATCTTCAGATAGTGTCATTAGGAAGATAGGGCAGAATTGTTCAGAGTTCTTGCAGAAGTTATAACAGGAAACTCCATGATCTCCGAGATCCCTTCCAGCTTTTTACATTCTGTGAATTTGTATGTGAAAAATCATAACTTTCTCTCCAAAGACTTGTTTGGTGTTATGTACTTGCATTCTCATGGTGAATTCACTCTTCACAGCCTTCTTCTGATTTTACAGCTGCAGCTAATAAGGTGTATTTTTAGAGTTAAAAAAATTCATGTGATCCAAATGAAACAATATACACAAATAAGTAAATAAAAATACACCTGCAATACATGGTTTTGATCATCCCCAAATTGGTGGTGAATATTTGCAAAGTTGTCCATTTTTAAGTACCATATTTTTATCAAATCTTAACTAGCCTTCACCAATTTTACTTTGTTTCTGTTAATAATCAGGAGGAGGCCATTGCATACACTAAAATATATAGTTTTTCTACAAAATATTCTGAAAATGAATGAAATATCCAGTACAATCTTACACAGTGGAAGACTCCGTATTTCTTATACCTCTGAGTTCAGTAGATAAATGAAGGCTTTTATATAATCCATGCACGTAAGGTTAGAATAGGGCAGTGTTTTTCAATCTCAGTCATTTTAAGATGTATGGACTTCAATTCCCAGAATACCCCCGCCAACTGGGGAGTTGAAGTCCATATATCTTAAAATAGGTTGGGAAACAATGGAATAAGACAATAAAGAATTTGCCAAATGATGTTCAGGTGCCCATCATTTGGTGTAGCTTCATACAGATTTAGCACTTTTTAACATCATTATTCCAATGGTCTATTCTTCATTCTGCATTAAGCAAACATGAAAAGTTTTTAAAGTAAGCATTTATTTTTATTCATGTTTTGGTAATACTATAAATTATCAGCATTATTATTCCAGCAATCAGGATCATGAAATAATCTTCTCTTTCCTCTTTAAAAATCTGTTGTCTTATCTCTTAAGAATCAGCTATTATCACAAACGGATAACCACTCAACAGCAAGAAGCTTGACGTAAATTTTCTCTCTTTCATCTGAAAGAGAAGCTGAATCACCAGGCTGATTCCTTCAGCTCCAGGGATATAGATTTATGAGCATTAAGATGAATGCTACTTGCCGCTCTTATAGCCGATTTCATTGCACTGTCAATCCAAGCAAAAGGGTACGTTGTATGTTCTCCTGCAAAGTACACCCTGCCTTCATTCTGAAACAAAGCCTTGAGAAAAAAGCTATACTGGTATGGGGTAGGAAAAGCAAAGGCCCCCATGGAGAACTTGTCTAGGGCCCATTTCTGAATCACGTGCCTGTTGCACACACTTTCAAGATAATTCTTGGAGATGTTGTGGATTTTTGAAAGATCATCCATAACAACATCAAGACATTCATCATCACTAAGAGGAGCAAAGAAGTCAGCATCATCATGCAGGGTGTATGAGACCAGGAGCACCCCAAGACCACCAGAGAAGTCATGATTGGGATAGGAGACTACTCGTGTTGGGAGATCAGTGAGGGACTTCCCACCTCGGATTCCTTCCCTCTCCCAAAATTTGTCTGTGCAAACTAAGGCAATTTTAGTAGCACTTGTATAATGCAATGAGCGTAGAGCATAAGCCTTTAAATGGGAAAGAGGGGGCTGGAATTTGATGAGTCGTGTGGCTTTTGCCGTTGCTGTGACAAGGACATAGTCAGCAATCAGAAATGATGAGTCATCTTCATCCTCCTTGTGGAAAAACACCTTCACTTTCTTGCCGGAGCGAATGATCTTTTCCACTCTGCTGTTTAAATGGATTATCCTGGACATTTCCTGATAGAAGCTGTTGGGCAGCTGGTCAAATCCACCTGTGATTTCCTCAAAACTGAAGAGATTGAGGTAGAAGGAATAGGAATAAAGAAAGAAGTGAAAGAATAATCAAGCAAAGTCAATGGGAAAGCCAGATTCACTTAACAACTATGTTACAAACTTAACAACTGGAGTGAATCACTTTATAATTGTGGCAAGAAAGGTTGTAAAATAGGGCAAAATTCACTTAACAACTGCCTTGCTTAGCAATTGAAATTTTGTGGTCATAAATTGAGGACTACCTATATTTAGGAAGCTGTCTGAAGGCCATTAATTCTTCAAACAATTCTCAACAATTCTGTTCCATCTTCTACCTAACAGCTGTTCAGATATTTGAAGAAAACTATCATGTCTCTCTTCTCAAGGCCAACCATGCGCAACACCTCCCAACCAGGGGTGAAATTCACTTACCTTCCCTACTAGTTCACCAATGTGCTCGCACACTCTATCGTCTGTGCATGCACAAACCCTTCTGCGCATGCGCAGAGGCTTAAAATGTCACAAAAAAGCGACGTTATGACATCCGCGCGAGTGGGCAGAGCCTCCCACAACCGCTGCTACAGGTTCGCCCGAGCCAGATAGAACCAGCTGGATTTAATTCCTGTTCCAGCCATTCCTCATAAGATTCCTTTCAAGCCCCTTGTTATTATAATTGTTCCTCCAGACATTCTGAAGTTTGTTCATGTACTTTCAAAATTGCAATGTCTTGGTTGAAATTTCATCAATAGGTTTTCTGTGTGTGAACACTGTTTCATAACAATCAAAATAATACAAAAATCCTACCCATTCTCATCTGAGAAGGCTATGTAACCCAGGACAGAAGTGAAAAATGACATATAGTATCCGGCACCTTCATTCAAAAAATCTCCAATCATCTCTACTGCCCCACTGCTCAGATTTCCTTCCTTAATTAAATATTCCTGTTAAAGAAAAATCAGAATTGATGAGGGAAATAAATACAAATACTTCCTTTTTGAATTACAGTTAATTTTGTAGGAGAAGAGCCGGCAGAGCTGGGGGGGGGGTGGGGGGTGGAGTTAAGGATGTCATCGGTTTAGAGTCATTGTGTTGCCACAACCAATTTAGTGTTGAACTTCAGTTGACCAGATTAATGTCAGGTGCAAAGAATCAGGAGCTTTCATAAGGATGCAGCATAGAAGATTTATTCAAGCCTATGCACAAGAATGTGGTCAACTAAAAGTTAACACTAATTTGGCACCAGATAAGAGTCAGCAGAATTCAGGAGAAGTTGAACTTGGCGAGTTTACGGGAACACAACAACTTCTAGTCCAACCCCCTGCCTAGGCAGGAAACCCTACACCACTTCAGACAAATGGTTATCCAACATCTTCTAAAAAACTTCCAGTGTTGGAGCATTTACAACTTCTGGAGGCAAGTTGTTCCACTGATTAATTGTTCTAACTGTCAGGAAATTTCTCCTTAGTTCTAGGTTGAATCTCTCCTTGATTAGTTTCCACCCATTGCTTCTTGTTCTACCCTCAGATGCTTTGGAGAATAGCTTGACTCCCTCTTCTTTGTGGCAGCTACAAATTTCCTCCTACAAATTTGTTTTAAATTTCATTTTCATCCAACTCAAAGCAAATACAAGGGTTGATCCAGAAACTTCCTTCAACATATAAGGTTTGCCATCTTCTCAAGAAACTATCATTAAACTCCCAAAGGTGCTTTTTCAAGAGACAACTGGACTTTTTTTCTTTTTTTTTTCTTGAAGACATTTTGCTTGTTATCTAAGAAGCTTCTTCAGTTGAACTGAACCAGGCGCTTCTTGAATGAGAAGCAAAATGTCTTCAAGGAAAAAGTCCAGTTGCCTTTTGAAAAAGCACCTTTGGGACAACCATGACCTGGATGACTGAGAATCTCCATAGACATCATTAAACTCAGTAGATAATTTCTGACTTATCTTCAACTTCCTTTTTGTGGGAATACGTAGGGAGCCATGAATACATCCAGAAGCCATTACAAAAGCAAATAGTATAGAAGCATACTTTGAGCCCTGGGAAAGGAGAAAATATTAGGAAGAGACTTGGGCTGGCTCTTCTCTGACTCCCTTGGGGAAATGATGATAGGGAGGGAAAACTTCGAAGATTTGCTTAACATAACCTATCCCAATAAACCCATTACCCTAATCTTTTTGTAGTTCCTTTGTTATCTTTCATTTGGATTACTGCAATTCACTCTTAACCAGGTTGCTCTCAAGACCACCCTTAGAATGTCATTCTCTTACCTTGGTGGAATATGAGTCATATTTCATTTTCAGCCTCGTGCAGTTTTTTGTTGTCTGGCAAGAGTCATAAACAAAGGAAGCAGATTAGATCAAAGAAATATGTAAAATTCTCCAAGCCATGTTTTGTATGCTCTCTACTCTCAGTACTCTACCAGGGGTGGGCAAATGTGGCCCTTTTACAACCTGTGGACTTCAACTCCCAGAATTCCTGAGACAGCCAAGCTGGCTCGGGAATTCTGGGAGTTGAAGTCCACAGGTTGTAAAAGGGCCATATTTGCCCACCCCTGCTTTAGACAGTTTCCAGGCATAGAATAGAATAGAATTCTTGATTGGCCAAGTGTGATTGGGCACACAAGGAATTTGTCTTGGTGCATACGATCTCAGTATACATAAAAGAAAAGATGGTTCTCAACTTACAACAGTTCATTTAGTGACTGCTCAAAGTTACTGAAAAGGCACTGAAAAAGTGTCTTGCGACCATTTTTCACACTTTATGACCATTGCAGCATCCTCATGGTCTTGTGATCAACATTTGGATGTTTGGCTACTGGTTCATATTCATGATGGTTGCAGTGTCCCGGGGTCATGCAATCCTCTTTTGTGACCTTCGGACAAGCGAAATAAATGAGGAAGCCAGATTGACTTAACAACCATGTTAGTAACTGAACAACTGCAATGATTCACTTAACAACTGTGGCAAGGAAGATTCTAAATTGGACTCAGTTGTGATCCTAATGCAAGGATTACCTGTATTTATTTTTATTTTATTTATTTTATTAGTTCGATTTATATATACCGCCCTTCTCCAGAGACTCAGGGCGGTTTACAATGCGTTAAGCAATAGCCGTCATACTTTTGTATAAACCTGCTTAGTAGGGCTTTTTGCCCCCCCCCCCCCGGAGCGGTGTTCTATTTTATCCAAAGTCAGCTTATTGCCCCCACAAACCAGGTCCTCATTTTATCTACCTCGAAAGGATGGAAGGCTGAGTCAACCTTGAGCCTGGTGAGAATTGAACTCACAGTAATTGCAGGCAGCTGGCAGCTAAGTACTACTTTAACAGCAGCAGTTTAGTCCACTGCGCCACCAAGGCTCTTATTATAGCAAATAATTATATTTTAATTATATTATAGCAAATAATGCAACTGAACTGTTAAAACTTAGAAATTTAATGCATACTTTGCATCTCTATCTGTGTATAGACAATCATAACAGAATATGATTATTATCTCACCATTTGGAGAGAGAGGAGTCAGTATCTGAACTGAGCAAAGTACCGTGTTTCCCTGAAAATAAGACCCTGTCTTATATTTTTTTGAACACTGAAATAAGCGCTTGGCCTTATTTTCGGGGGGGGATCTTATTATTTTGGGGCGCATGGAGCAAAGATGGGGCTCCTCTTGCAGTCTTACCTGATTTCCAGCTCTATCTCCCTAACCCTAACCAGAGGAAATACAGTAGAGGGGATCAGCTGCACATGCATTTAAATATTTTCAGGGAGGGCTTATTTTTAGGGGGGGTTATTTTAGCGCATGCGCTCAAAAGCCTGATCGGGCTTATTATCAGGGGATGTCTTATTTTCGGGAAAACAGAGTAGCATCTTGGCAATGTAATAAAGCAGGGGTGTCAAACTGGATTTCTTCGAGGGCCATATCAACATTGTAGTTCTCCTCCGTGGGCCAGCCAGGGGTGAGTGGGTGGGAGATGGGATGAAAACCTCCTGCAGCACTTTGCCAGCCAAGCTCTTCGCTAGCAGAGGCACTGCAAGCTGGTCCTTTGCTATTTCCAGGCCGGCCCCATGGGCCAGATTTAAACACCCCATGGGCAGGATCTGGCCTGTGGGCCTTGAGTTTGACACCCCTGCTATAAAGTCATACCTACCCTGTCCAATGCACTCTCGTAGAGCTCTTCAGCAGATTTTCCCAACTCAGTGCGACGCATCGGATATCCAAACACATTTGACTTTTCATTCATAGCTGACACCCTTTCTCTTCTATTTCTGAACAAGTACCAGGCATTTTTATTCGACAGGGCAAAGGGGTTTAATGGCAGATTGAACTTTTTAATGTATTCATGACAAATTCTGGTTGGAAAAAAAAATGCAAAATAAGTGAGTCACTGCAGGTTAATTACTAGACCATTAAAAAGAGAGTAGAAAAAAAAAGATGGGAATATATTTCTCTGCATCTGGCTTTCAATCTCTTTTAGATGCTCCTTGCAGATGTTCTTCAAAAGATAACACACACACTTTTCAGTTTCCAATCTGAGTGGAGATAATGGGGGAATTACCTCTGGGAAAATATGAAAAGGAATTTAAAAGAGAGAAACAAGTATTGTTAAGCAAGGCAGTCGCTTGAAGCAAAGGAGTCACTAAGTGAAACCACCAGTATGCTTGTGATCTTACTTCAGCTTTCCTTTGCTTTACAGACCTGCAGTAAAATCAAGGATTGGTCATAATGTTACTTTTTCATCAATGTCATAATTGTGAATGGTCATTAAACGAGATAGTCGCTAAATGAGGGTTAACCATACTATATATAGTACCTTACTAGCAATTGGATTAAATGTTGATTGAAGTAGCAGAAGCTTAATGTGCTGTCTGAAGTTCAGTTTTGCCAATCACTAGTTTGAGATCTATGTGGGGAGTCTCCCCCCTAGCTAGATTTCAGCTTGTGGGGGGACTTAAATCTCTCTTGTGTGAGATAACATCCAATGAGTTACAATTCAATGTTTAGTTGAAATCTTACAGTACTTGTTGAATATGTAAATAGAGAGTGAAGCCGGGAGCATAGGCTTCACTCAGGTCCGGGTCATTAGCATACCCGGCACCAGTGGTGGGATTTTGCCGGTTCTAGGCGGTTCGGCCAAACCATTTGTTAAATTGCTGGCTCGTCCCGCCCCTTGCCCCGCTCCTCCACACCACTGGGTGAGGGGTGGGCAAGCCAGCAATTTAACAAACGGTTCAGTGTTTTTTTATAATTTTATTGGCCTCGCAGCTGCCACGGGGCTTCAAAGGGCCGCCCTACAGCTGATCAGTGTTAAAAGAAAACAAATGAGTAGATCGGTGCCTGAAAATATAAATGGGTAGATCCAGTGGTGGGATTCTACTTTGGTAGAACCGGTTGTCAAGTAGTTAAGCCAGTGGTTGCCAAAGTGGGTGGTACCGCCTCCTGGGGGGGGTGGGATGCCTTAGGGGGGCGGTAAACAGCAAGGGGCGTGGCAGAGGGATGCTAGAGGCAAAGGGGGGCGACAGGGGAGCTAAGTGGCAAGGAGGGTGGTCCCCCCTTTGACCTGTGCCTCACAGCACTTACCTCCTTGCAAGCAAACAGCAAGAAAAAAACAGTCTCTTTCAGCTTCAGCATAGGTTAATTAGCATGATTAGATCGGCCTCCGACTCTCAGCTGATTCGCTCTCAGCTGTTTTGCAGGCTCGTTTGCAAGCTCTTGTTTTGCAAGCTCTTTGCTTGCTGCAAAGAGTGCTGGAGCAGATTTTTTTTTCCCTAGCTAAAAGGAAACTGAAAGTAAAACAGGCTCTGCTGCAACATGACAAAATGAGGCAGGGAGAGAGATTTCTTTTTCTTTTTCTTTCTCCTCACCAAAAAAGGTAGGTGCAAACAATGGGAAATTTAGGGCAAAAGAGGAGAGTTCAAGATTTTAAAACACAAAAGAAAAAAAGCTCTATTTAACTAGGGAATTGTAATAATTGAGATACTATTGAGATGAGGATGAAGGGGAATATTGGTTTTTTTAAAAAAATAGATGAGGAATAAATATGGCAAAAAGGAAATATAGAAATTGTAAATTTAATGACTTTTTTCAGCCCTCTGAGTAGTCCCTATACACATAGCCATGCCGACCCGGTCACATGACCAGCTAGCCACGCCCACCCAGTCACATGACCACCAAGCCACACCCCCAACTAAGCCACGCCCACAGAACTGGTTGTTAAAAAAATTGAATCGCACCACTGCCCGGGGCTCATTGGTCTATTCGAGCCGCGGGAAAATTAAAGCAATGTCAGCGGCTAGGCTGCCGGACAGCTCCCTTTAAAAGAGAGCGCTGCCGGCTAGCCTAGCAGAAGTTTTTCCAAGTCGCAAATAAAGAACTGAAGTTACTTGCTGGAGTACTGCCCTTAACAGTACTTCTAAACAGAAAAATGGTGATGAGGACAGAATGGCAGGAGTCAGGCGTTGTGCTCATCCTTGTGTATAGGGTATAGGGATTGAAAACTCAATGTTTTCAGCTAGTTTACAACAATGCAAAAAAACCCTGTGATCAAAGCCCAACATCCTTTTTACTTGCATCACACATATGCTGCATTTTAAAAAAAGAAGAGCTGTCCATTGTGTAGTCACCAGTTCCATTTTTTTTTTTTGAAAACCCTTGTGAAAAAATCTACAATGTGAAGATTGGAAAAAATCTAAAATTGTGAGCTGGGCTACAAAGAGCCAGCTAGCTAATTGGGCAAGTTGGGCAATTGAATATCAAAAAGCATGAGAAGAGGACCTGGGTAAAATTGCTGAAAAGATCCAAAAAGACAGGGAGAAAAGGAAGAGAGCTTTAGGAAGAGAGGAATAAGTGATGAGAGAAACCCTGGAAACCATTACTGAAGTCAGAATACTAGAAGGGTTATTGGTTTCACAGCCTCTTTATTACCTGTGGGCCTTAGGTAGGCGCATCGCTCCCAATTCCACATACCAATCTTTCTCGCGATGAGTCTTTATCCTCCCACCAACACGGTCACTAGCCTCTAAGACATGAACCTAGGAACAAATATATTATGACAGCTTTTCTTGCTTCCTCCTGCCTCTTCCTCTTTGACGAATTGCTATTCCCCAAACGTAACAAACTCCAGATTTTTCTGGACAAGCAATGTTTCTAATTGATAAAAGAATTCATATTCAAACATCTGTGGGAAGCATACAAGCAGCACTTTTAACAGTTAGTTTAATCTAATAGAATGTTTCCAATTGACTAAGAAACGTGGAGACAAAAAATGCCATCCACAAATAAATCTCTTAATTTGTTGAGATTTTGAATCCTATCAAATACCAAATAACATAGAATGTAAGTTTATTAAATATTTATTGAGGCACAGAACCAGGGCCGGATTTAGATGAAAAGAGGCCCTAGGCTATTCCACTTATGAGGCCCTTTCACCTATAGTGAAAATGTAATTTTAATTTTGCTAACAATTTGAATGTAGGCCCCTCTTGATCTTGAGGCCCTAGGCTGAAGCCTAGTTAGCCTATAGGAAAATCCGGCCCTGCACAGAACACTGTTATCTACGTCAATTTTCAAATACCACAAATACAAAATTTGATGCTAGTTATCAAAAAATTGATTTTTTTGATAGAGAGCCTGCATTAGGAAGGGTCAGTATAATATACTCAAGCCCGTGTGTTTGTCAAAGCGTGTGAGACATTGGTAGTTTGGATTTAGTTCTTTGCTTAGCCATCTCCTTCTGTATAAAGCAGTGGTTTCTAAACTGGGGGTAATTTTAGACCATTAAAGGTCTATAGCTCAGCAGTTCAAGATCTGAATACAGCGAGACAAAGTGAGCTCCCATCATTTGCCCCAGCTCCTGCTAATTTAGCAGTTTGAAAGCATGTAAATGCAAGTAGATGGATAGGTACCACATTCTAAGCAGGTGGGAAGATAACAGTGTATCGTGTTTCGCCATATGCTCTGTGCTGCAGTGTGATAGCATGCTGGCCACAGTACCACAGCAATATCTCTGGACAGCAGTGGCTCTTTGTCTTAAGAAACAGAGATGAGCACTGCCTCCTAAAGTCGGCCACAAATAGCGAAGTAAAGCTCCCCACAACACCCAGGAGAGTAATGGAGGAATTTGTGATTCCTTGTTTGTGAGTCGAAGATCCAATTTGGGACCACCGCTGCAATCTGCTTATAAAATAACACAGTCTAGTTTTGTTTTGTTTGTTTTGTTTGTTTTGTTTTGTTTTTGCAAGGATAATGGCTTTAATGGAGACTGGGGAAAGGGATAATTGGGCCAAACAGCTTAAGAACCATTGGTGTAAAGTTTGAATTATACTGAAGGTATACTTTGAATTATACCTTTTTCTCTTGGATGTCATGATGCGATATTACACTGGAACACAACATTTTTAATAACTTTCCCACCACTCACCACAGGTACCTCTCCATATTGTTGAGGGTTGAGATTGAAGACTGGTCTTTTCCCATCAACACCATTACCTGATGTCCAGCGTCTTTCAGTAATTTGGCAGCAGTGAGTCCACTTATTCCTGCCCCAACAATCACAATTCTTTTTGGCTTTGGTGTCTTTTCCAGCCCATTTCTGGCAGTATTTAACAGCTCCTCATAGTTAGGATCCTCAAAACATTTCATCCAATCTTCCTGTTCATTGGCATGGTTTTCAGAGACCCAGATGGCCATGAGAAGTAGTATGAGTGACAAACTTGCTAGAAAAAAAAGCCAAGCCTTGATTGAAACATGGAAGGGAGACAGCAAATGAAAATATGTTTTGGCCAGCTTTCCTGAATCAGGCGTTTAATTCTGAAGCCATGGATCTTTTCTGGAGAAATCTTCATTCAAGTAAGTAACCATTTGGTGTTAGCTCACCAGTTGGGACAGCTGGTTAATTGAGTGGACATATAGCATGAGCAACTTTATTTCAAGTAGCTTAAAGAACCAGTTAACACAATGGCTAAGAAAGAACATCAAAATTCTTTTTACACTCATAATTACTAATAGCTGAATGATCTCACTTGTGACAATTTTAACCAATCAATGAATTTATGCAAAAAGGGGTGTGGTAATCATCTGGGAACATTCATTTTTTTCTTATCTGTATAACCATTCTATAATCCTATTTCATGACGATGAAAGGAGTTTTGATTAGGAGGGATTTGGAACAATCCACTTACAAAGACCAGAATCATGCAAGCTGTGATATTCCCTATGGCATTCTGTGGAAGTTAAAACTGGACTTTAAAGAAGCAGGATAGGAAGCGATTATTGGTGCCTTTGAACTTTGGTGTTGGACAGGACTTCTGAGAGTACCATGGACAGCCAGGAAAACAATCAATGGATCATCAAACAAATCAAAATATAATCCAGTTATCCTGCTTTGGACAAATGATGCAAAGACATAGCTCTCTGGAGAAGGCTTGGATGCTGGGAAAGATGGAAGAAAAGAGAAGAAAAAGACAACCAGCCACAAGATGGACACAGTTACCGTGGAGGTAAATGCAGCATTGGGAGTCTTGAAAGACCAAGTTAGGCATGATTAGATATTCACGAAGAAAATCTGTATGGTCACTAGGAATTGAAAAAGACTTGGTGGTAGTCACAATCAATCAATCAATCAATCAAAGGACTGCTTAATTAACTATCATCTTGCCTTTGAATCAGGGATGAAATGCTCCCGGTTCGGACCAGATCACATGATCTGGTAGCGATGGAGGCGGGTGGTTCAGAGAACCGGTAGCAAAAATCCCTGCCCCCCCCCATTGCCCAGCTGAGCCGCGCAATCATCAGAGGCTTTTTCTTTATTTTTAAAAGCATTTTTCTACAACCTCTTTGGCTGAAAAAATGCTTTTAAAAGTAAAAAAAAAAGCCTCTGATGATCGTGCGGCTCAGCTGGGATCATCACAGGCTTTTAAAAGCATTTTTTCTACAACCTCTTCAGCCAAAGAAGTTATAGAAAAAATGTTTTTAAAAGGAAAAGAAGCCTCTGCCGATCAGGCAAGTCAGCTGGGATCATCAGAGGCTTTAAAAGCATTTTTTTTTACAACCTCAGCTGAAGAGGTTGTAGAAAAAATGGTTTTAAAGGTTAAAAAAAAAGTTGGCCACGCCCACTCAGTCATATTACCCCCCCCAAGCCACGCCCACAGAATCGGTAGTAACAAATTTTTACATTTCACCACTGCCTTGAATGCAATATTTAATTTTGGTTTTTTTCCTAAAATTCACCATAGTGGGATATTAGTTTGGACCATAAAGCTGGAATGAAGGGTAAAATGGCTTTAATCCTTTACTCCTTACTATAGAAAGGATAAAGAGGTAGTTTGGTGTAGTGGTTAAGGCATTAGGCTAGAAACTGCAAGTCTGAGTTTTAATCCTGCGTTGGGCACAAAGACAGCTGGGCCAGTCACTTTCTCTCAACCCTAGGAAGGAGGCAATGGCAAACTACTTCTGAAAAACCTTGCCAAGAAAACTGCACAGTCTTATCTAGGAAGTCTTCATGAATGGTACATGACAGAACATAAGGGAGGAAAAAAGCAGAAAGGCAGTGATATTTGGGCAGCTACAATGTAGAGGACCAATAGAGGGTAGCAAGTGGAGAGACATCTTTATTGCCATCTAATGAGTCTCTGGTTATTTGCAGTTCTAATATGCTATGGAGAGAGGAACAAGATGTCGTTTTCAAGAGCAGCAAACTTTGGTAATTAAGATGTTACGTTAGGACTTTTGTCACCCATACAAGGTGACTCTGGGTCAATCATTCTCAGAGAATGGCACAGATATAATAGCAATAGCACTTAAACTTATATACCGCTTTACAGTGCTTTTACAGCTCTCGCTAAGCAGTTTGCAGAGTCAGCATATTGTCCCCAACAATCTGGGTCCTTGATTTTGCCCACCTTGGAATAATGAAGGGAGGTTTTGATGGAAGCCCCCTTGGGGTCATGGAGGAAAGGCGAACTAGCAGTCTAAAACTAAAGAAACGATTTAAAATGCTTCATTTAATCCAGCGTGATTTTTTTCCCCTCATGCAAGTTGCTGAATTAGAGAAATTGGAGAGGGATGTTGGGGAAGAAATGAAGGACTAAGTAACGCACTATCCCCAGTTCTGTCTGTGGGAAAAAAAAATGTCGACAAGAATGTAGAAATGAATTTTATGAATTATGGAGAACCCAGTTAATCAAATCTTTTTGTCAAGTCACGGGCATTAAGTACAGCCAATTTTTTCCCCAAACCTAACAGGTTTTTCAGCGATGTTTTGGGCAAATTATTTTTTCACTAGGAAATTGAAAAATAGAAGTGATTCGTGGTAACCTTTAACTTTGGATTCCAGAAAAGGAGATGCTTTGAAGCATGTCAAGATATGCTCGTAGCTCTGTCAGCAATTCTTTAACCCAAACAATTTAAGGTATTTAATATTAAGATATTCTCCAGGTTTTCAAGAAGAGACTGGACAGCCACTTGTCCAGAATGGTATGGTGTCTCCTACTTGAGCCAAGGGTTGAACTAGAAGCCCTCCCTTCCAGCCCTAATTTTCTATGTCCTATTATTACTTGCAGAAGGTAACTGCATGATCCAGAAACCTACCTAAGTAGCTGCTAACAGAAGCACTGCAAAGGAACTTCTTCCTTTGGATTCCAAAGGAAATTCATCATATGCAAGGCTAAAATTATTATTCAGGTTAAAAGGCTCATCATTATACCCCAAAGTACATAAGGCTTCTAAAATAATGTTTATGCAGAAAATGAAATACTTACAGGATTTGACCATGGTCGATGAGCAGGATAAGAATGCAAATCTGTGCTCTTATTTATATTCAGGAGGCGTCTGGCTGAGGGGAATGGGTCCAGCTCACTTCAGCCAGGTAGGTGTGACTTGGTGGGCATGGCCAGGTCAACGTGAAGGAATAAGTGCAGCTGGCTCAACGCAGATGACTCGGGGTGGCTGGGTGAGCATGGCCAGATGGATGCAACCACTTGGGTGCAGCTGGGTGGTGGGCACCAGGTGGTTGCGGCCAGGTGGGTGCAGAACAAGTCACCCCAAGCAACTGGATATGGAGCCAACTCGGCACCATGCCAGAGCAAAAATCACCTGGAGACTAGAGATGGTATTCAGCCAGTTCAGACTGGTTCACCCAAACCGGCAGCGGAAATTGCAGGCGGAGCAAAGCGCGTGCGCAGAAGGCCCATTGCATGTGTGGAAGGCAGGTGTGTGCACAAACTGGGCACACACGTGCAAGAACCAAGCGTGCACACACGCAGCGAACCGGTAGTAAAATAATCCGAAACCCACCACTGCTGACAAACACGAAGCAGGTAAACTGGCAAAATTTGAAAGGCAAAGAGTGGATTTCCCCCTGCTCCCAATTTGGAGAAATGCTCCTTTTTTCTTTCTGCTTCCCAGGAAAGGTTTATCTGCTAAGTTTCACAAGGAAGGGAGGAACTGGGTGGATTCTTTCCCCTATTTGAATAAATGCTCCATTTTTCTTTCTGCTTCCCAGGAGAGCTTTCTCTGCTAAATTTGACAGGGAAGGGAGGGGCTGGGTCGATTCTGCCAAATTTAGCAGAGAAAGCTCTCCTGGGAAGCAGAAAGAAAAAAAAAGGAGTGTTTCTTTAAATAGGGGAATCCAGCCAGTGGTGGGATGCAAATAATTTAACAACCTGTTCTCTGCCCTAACGACCAGCTGTGTAGGTGTGGCTGGGTGGTCATGTGACTGGGTGGGCGTGGCCAACTCAACGTCACTCACCTCAAGGGGCGCCTCGCCTCATCTGGCCTCTCCTCCCCATGCCCGGCCCCACTTTACCCCTCCCCTCCCAGCCATGCCCGGCTGCCGGAGCTACTAGTTTTCAAATAAAAAGAATGCTCACCTTGTGCAAATAAATAACAAACATCTTGACTTCACGTTTCATGCATCTTGCAAAGTATTACTGCTCATTCTGGTCTCCTTTCCTACCAACAGGTCCATCTCAGATTGTAATTTGCTACAACCTCTCTTGTCTTTTGCGTCATTCTATGGGACATTATTCTGAAATGTTGTTGTTGTTGTTGTTGTTGTTATTGTTGTTGTTGTTGTTGTTGTTGTTATTATTATTATTATTATTATTATTATTATTATTAATTAAATTTATATCCCGCCCTTCTCCCCGAAGTGACTCAGGGTGGTGAACAGCTGAGAATTAAAATAACATACAATATAAAAGTTAAGATAATTAAAAATAAATTAAATTAAATTGTTATCTGTGATGTTGGCAGATTTACAAGTTTGTTTCCTCCAACCCTGTTTTCACATGCAATTCTTACAAGTTATTTTGACATTCCTTCCTCCTTTTTAAACAAAGTAGTGGTTAAGGTACTGGCCTAGAAACCAAGAGACTCTGAGTTCTAGTCCCACTTTAGGCTTGAAAAAAATGGCTGTGTGACCAAGTCCCTCTCTCCCAGCACAAACCACTTCTTAGATTGTGGTTGTGGGGAAAGTAAGAGAGGAAAGAATATTAGATAAGTTCTCCACCTTGAGTTCCGTATAAAGTAATAAAGACAGGGTAAACATCTAACAAAATAAATAAATCATTTGTGAGAATGATGCCCTTCTAAAGGAGAAGGGTTGCTGATTGCCTTGTCAAATGCCTTACACTACTGCATTTATTTCATTTTTATCCACTTTATTTTCCTCTACTTTTTGGTTTATTCTTTAATGATGACATAGCCCAGTGATGGCTAACCTTTTCTGGACCGAGTGCCCAAAGTGCATGGGCGCAAATGTGCATGCGCATGCCTGAACCCCCAAAATACAATGTGTGTGCAGCCCCCATGCATGTGTGTGCGGCCCCCGCACACGCCCTGCCCCTGGCATGTGCATGGCATCCCCGCACGTGCTCCACCCATGTGCATGCGCCCCCACACCCCTGCACATGCACATGCAACCCCCGCATGCACCCTGCCCCCCGTGCATGTGTGTGTGGCCCCCCACATGCACCCAGCCCCCATGCATGCGCAGCAGAGACGCAGCAGAGCTGACAGGAGGCGCATACGCAAGCATGCACAGCGGAGCTAACTGGGGCGATGGCTCACGTGCCATCAGAAAAGGTGCTGCGTGCCACCTCTGGCACATATGCCATAGGTTCGCCATCATGGACATAGCCTATGAAATTCTTATTTGTCTCATATGCCAGGATTATATGGGAAAACATCATGTGACTGACAGGCAATGGCAGCAGAAATCACTAAGCAGCTACATTAAGACAGAAAGGTGGAGGCACCAGGATACAAAAAGCAGAGGATCTCAGGGAGAAGAGAGCTGAGACATCCACCTTTCATCAAACTGGCACAACCTAGTCAACTACAGAAAGGTAGGAAAGTCATCCGTGCCTCTTTTATGTGCTCTTTCCATTGGAAATTTTGAGATTGTTTCAAACTGACAATGTAAAAATTGCCCCTGCTCTACAATACTGGTGATCTTTCTAATGATCTTTCACTTTTTATCTAGAGAAGTGCTGATTTAAAAATCAAATTCAACCATCCCCTTTTTTCTGTTAAATTAATTTTGCCAAACATCTCCCCAACTGGCAATAAAATAGTGCTCACAACTCACAATAAAACAGCACAATAAAATAGCACTGTTCCAATATTTGAGGGACTCCTACAAAAATGAGAGGGTCAATCTATTTTCCAAAGCACCAAAAGGCACAAGAAACAATGGATGGAAACTAACTAAAGAGAGAAGCAATCTAGGAGAAATTTCCTAAGGGTGAGAGCAATCAACCAATGGAATAGCTTGTCTTCAGAAGTTGTGGGTGCTCCATGACTAGAGGCTTTCAAAAATAGATGGTACAACTATTTGTCTGAAATAATATAGGGTCTCCTGCTCGAGCAGGGAGTTGGACTAGAAGACCTCTGAGGTCCCTTCCAACTCTATTATTCTATGTTCTCTATGTTCTAAATTGGGTACTTCACAGCAGAAGCAATTCTCGGCCTCCCCTGAAGCCGGAACACCAAGACACAAGAAGCACACGAGCTCGAGGATCAGAGTCTCTTGGTTTTATTCAGTGACAACAGCTCTCGGTGGAGACCGGAATGTAAATACAAGTAAAGATGCGGCTGCTGGGAGCCGGCGTCAGAATCCTTTATAGGAGAGGCGCTGAGCGCTATCAGCTGGGTTAATTCAAATCTCCCGCAGCTGTCCATCCTAAACGCGCGCAGCGATGACGTCATCCGCCCTGGTCTCCGGCGAAGGCTGCGTTGCTTGTAGAATCTCTACTCACCCACGCGGCCCCGGTAAGCCCCCGTGAAAGAGACGCCTATCGCCATACCTAGCCCCTTCACCTAGCACCCAGTGTCCCGTCTCCACCCCACCTTCGGGTACGCTGTCCAGAACGTAGCGGCTGGGATCATGGTGTCGAGTGCATCACGCTGCTCGACAGCAATACAGCTGACTGGACCATACATGCATTAAATTCAGGGCCTGTATGATCAAGCTGCATCCTGTATCTTTTTTCTCCCAGGAAGAAACAAGAAGTAGCCAACAGTACAGCATCTATAAAAGGTCTTGGGGAACTCCAGGGAGTATCAACTGATCACAGAAGTGTTACTTAACACCCTTTATAATGAAAATGTTTGTAATCTTATCCTTTGTCCTGAAGGGAAGAGGCTAATCTCATCCCTAGATGGGCCACTGATGGGTTTCCTGGGTGTTTCCCTGCCCTAATCCTGTCAGTTTCTATTGTTTATTCAAAGCGTGTGCCAGCTGCATTCCTGCAGTTTTGTTATTGCAACTAAGTATTCACCTGTTAAGTGATTCTTGGCTGTCTGCCCAGAGCTATTAACTGAGGGGAGAGAGAAGAAAAAACCCTCTTGCACTTTATTGTCAGCCGGTTTGCTGAACTGCACAAAAAGTTAGCTACCAGTTCAGCTGAACTGGTGTGAACCGGCTGAATCCCACCACTGAATCTACCCTTTCAAATTTTTCTGCTTCCCTGCTTCCTATTTGCCAGCGTGTCTCCAGGTGATTTTTGTTCTTGCAGGATGCCGAGTTGGTTCCATGTCTAGTTGCCCAGGGTGACTTGTTCTCCACCCATCTGCCCACTCACCTGGTGCCCTCTCCCCACCCAGCCACACCCACATGCTTCCGTCTACCTGGCCATGCCCAGCCAGCTGCCCCAAGTTAGTTGCTCCAAGTTATCCACGCCGAGCTGGCGGCACCTAATCCTATGCATTGACCTGGCTGGGCCCACCCACCCATGCCCACCTGGCGGCATTCAGATGGCCACGCCCACTGAGTCTTGCCAGCCTGGCTGCAGTGAGTCTTCATAGACCCCTGTCTGAGGCCAGCAGTAAATCACAATTAGAGAAAATTGGCTTTCTCACTTGAAACCTTTTTAATGGCCAATCTTCTATTGAATTAGATCCTCATACACCTATCTGGAGAGTTCAGCAAAGCACAGCTTGCATTTAAGCATAAAATTCAACCAAGATGTCTGGTGCAACTGAACTGCTGCCTTGTAATTTCTAACAAAGGACTTTAACAGCAGCAATAGAATAATTCAAGCATGGAGCATCTTATTCTCAAAGGCTGTTTTGAAACTGGAATATTTTAAAATAGAAATAGACCATTTTAAAAAAAACTTGGCAGAAACTATTGATTTTTCTTTGAAAAGAGCTGGAGCTTTTCTCCCTGTAGATCACAAGGTAGCAAATATCAGATGGTCTTAAATGTGTGAAAATCTGTGTGGAGTTTTCCAAAGATTTTGTTCTACAAAAGTCCCTTCTATTTCAGTACATACCTCTCATGATGCTGTGTAGATAATAGGTACTATTCTGAAATCAGAATTCAAAATGATTTTGATAGGTTAGAGATGTGAACTGAAAAATACTGAATCCACTTAACAGCAGCTTATACAAACCAAATGCAGCATGGGGGAAATTATACTGAATTTTAATAATATGATGTGATTATTAAGAAGGTGAATGTAGGTTTAGGCTGAAACCATAGAAATTTGCAAAAACATGTAAAAACTAAGTAGATTATTATGGACTTCTGATGAAAGCTGGGTCTTCATATAAAGATTAAGGTTTCCCATGTCCAGTCGTGTTTGACTTGAGGGGTCAGTGCTCATCTCCATTTCTTCGCTGAGGGAGCTGGCATTGTCCGAAGACATTTCTATGGTCATGTGGCCAGCATGACTATACACCCAAGTGTATGGAACACTGTTAACCTTCCCACCATAAGTGGTACCTATTTATCTATTCACATTTCCATGCTTTCGAACTGCTAGGTGGGCAGGAGCTGGGGTAAGTAACAGGAGCTCACTTAGTTGAGTGGTTCTTAGGGCTGAAACATGGGCTGTCAGCTTTCCAGCTGACAAGCTCAGTGTCTTTAACCATTGAGCCACCGCACCTCATGGATCTTCACATAAGGTGCCCCAAATGAAGATAATTTTAGCCTGATCATTTGCACCTCAACGGAGAACTCTTGAGTTAATTTTTTTTTTTTTTTTTGCTTTAATTTATATGCCACCCTTCTCCGGAGACTCAGGACGGCTTACAATGCATTAAGCAATAGCCTTCATACTTTTGTATATTTATACAGTTTATTGCCCCCACAATCTGGGTCCTCATTTTACCTACCTTTGAAAGGATGGAAGGCTGAGTCAACCTTTGTTTTTTCGATGAAGAAAGACGCGTAGGCAGGATGATGGTTCACGGGAAGGCCCCTCGGGTGGAAGGCACCTTGATCAAGGCACCTCGGTGTGAGGTACCTTGGGGAAGGCACCCTCATCCCATCCAGAAGGCTTCCTTTTATTGTCATTTTACAACTATCATGGCAAAACATCAATCAACGTTTACTTGTCCTGATTGGCTAAGAAAAGCTCGTGAAGTCCATATGGACCCCTCGTGTCTCCCTCATGTTATTTCCTGTGACAAACAATTGCCTACGTGTTGGGTCTCCATTCCTTGCATATCTTGATATAGGGTCTCTGCCAGACATCCTGTCTTACATTCCTGAGAAGATTAGGATTTTGTGGTAACATTGTTTACCCAGCGCGGTTTGCTGACAACTGAGGTCACACCATCCCCACAACCTTGAGCCTGGTGAGATTTGAACTTGCAGTAATTGCAAGCAGCAAATGTTAATAACAGTGCTTTAGTCCACTGTACTAATCAAGGCTCTTTGTTCTATGATCAGTTTTTCTTCTTCTTGGGGATTCCTTGTAGATTCTCAGCATCAAATAAGTTCACAGTGATGGCCCACCGTGCCATCGTGTGCCAAAAGCAGGGGTCACATGGGGGGCACACATGCATGCACGGGCAGGGTGCATTGAATTATGGGTGTGGGTATGTGTGCGGGCGATGTCGCTGCACTCCCCCCGCTTTTGGCACGTGACGGCAAAAAGGTTAGCCATTACTGCCCTATGCCATTTCAGACAAATCGTGGTCCAATCTCGCCTTAAAAACCTCCCGTGAAGAGCACTCACAACTTCTGAAGGCAAGCTGTTCAACAAATTAATTGTTCTGTTGGGAAATTTCTCCTTATTTCTAGATTGTTCTCTCCTCGATTAGTTTAAATCCATTGCTTCTTGTTCTGCCATCAGGTGCTTTAGAGAATAGGTTGACCCCCTATTCTTCTGAATGTGATTCAGAATTCCCATGAATATGCACAGAGCATCATCCAGCTTCCCATCTTTTGCAAGGATGTTGCAGTAGCTGTGAAGAATGGGCACATGAACCCAGGAAAAGATGCAGATGTTTCATTTAATCCTCAACTAGTTAATTTTAGTGTATTTATGACTAAAGTAAAGACTAAAGATTTTCTATGTCACAAATTCCTCATTTCCTATAGGAATTGTTATGCAATCTGGGATTTTCTCCTGTGTTCCTGGCTTTTGTTGGCAGTATATACTTAAACTCTTAAATTTATATACTGCTCTATAGTGCTTTACAGCACTCTCTGGGCACCTTACAGTGTCAGCATACTGCCCCCAGCAACCTGCGTCCTCATTTTACCAACCTTGGAAGGATGGAGTCAATGTTGAGCCAGACAGAATTGAATTCCATACTGTGGGCAGAGTTTGCCTGCAATACTGCATTCTAACCACTGTGCCATCATTTTTGGTACATCTACTGGTTGCCTCCTTTCCTGGAACAGGAGATTGTGAAAACAGTAACAATTACCCTTATTATCTCTCAGACCACCGTAACTCACTTTGACTGGGATTGCCTTTGAAGGAGACTTCATATTCTGTACAGCTGTCACACATTGTGATGATCTTTGCTGTCCAGTGTTAGCTATCTTACCAGACAACAACTGTTCCTCAGGTGAATTAGTGGCCCTCAGGCCTACAGACTTAATTCTCACAAACACATGAAAAAAATCTTAGGAACAATTGCAAGGTCCTGACTGAAATCCATGATGTACAATTGACGGAGGAAAAAATACATTTAACATCTAAAGAACTATTTTGATTAAAAAGAAAAAGAGGCTATTTCCAAGCAGAGTGATGAAAACATGAAGAAAATCACACTGATAAAAACGGTGACCAGTTTTTGATGCAGAAAGTCAAAAAGCAATCTCTGTTCATTCCTTCTTTATTTGACTGGATTGTGTTTACGAGCTCACATAGAATGTAATGGAAATGTACTGTAAATCTTAGTACAGTGACAAAATTGAATCTTATTATTAATCTTATCTCAGAAAAATATATCTTAAACCTTTTGCCTCAAACAAGTATTTCCTTCTATTAGTGTAAGAGGAAGGAATTATGAGCTATTCTTTGTTAAATATACAATGGTACAAAGGTAATTCTGAAAAATCAGTTATTTATTTTTATTTATTAAATTTTTATGTCATTCGTGTCCTCTATAAGATGACTCTGGGTGGGGAAGTTATTAATTGTTTGGACTAATTTTGTACCTACAATTTGCATACAATTGAATAACTCAATGCTTAAACATTCTCCTTGTAATTTATATTTTTTTAAAATGTCAATTTGACTCATTATCTCTCAGTACAATCTACCTCCCTGCATATATTTTGGGAGTGGGTGGAATATTACACCTGAAAAAATGAGTCACTGGAATTCAATTTAGAGTTCTACTATGCGCAAATGCACATACATAATAACAGTTTTAAAAACTCTTTATCCAAGGTCATAATCAGATAAGACAAGATTTTTCCATTCCTAAACAATTAAATATTGGGCCTTTGACAATGCGGAATGGAACAGTTAATTGCAAGAATCATTTATCAAGATATTGATTAGTCAGTAAGGAAGTAGCTATGCAGGAATTACGACAATTGTTCTATTTTCAGT